TACTCCTACTCCTACTCCTATCCTTATTCCTTATTGGAATATACTCCTACTCCCCCCTCAGGCCGGCCGATAGGGGCCGCATCCGGGTGGTCCCATCCTAACTTGTAAAAAACAATACAAAATCAACATTTTTCTTATTTTTTCCTCTCGACATGGACGTCCTGTCGTCCACGGCGATAATCCATTGCAAAAAATACCACAAAGAGCACACGCGCGCGTTCACGTCAGAATCCTACCGAACACCTTGTGTTTGCAAGCATTTCAACATAAAAACATCAAAAACCGAATGTTTTTTCACAAAAATTGTACAAATTTCCCGCCCGGGCTCTCTTGCTGAAATCATAGGAAAACCATAGGAATCTAAAGAATTCGGTCAAATCCAGCGATTTCGCGTCATCGCGCGGTGCACTCGCGATGCTCTGTCATGCACCCAGGCCGCGAATCCTGTGCAAAAAATACAACAAAGAGCACACTCGCGCGTTCATGTCAGAATCCTACCGAACACCGTGTGTTTGCAAGCATTTCAACATAAAAACATCAAAAACCAATGCTTTTTCACAAAAATGCTTGGGGGTGTCCTGTCAGACCGTCGGGCTTCCTCCGGCCACCTCTGGCTTCCTGCGGTGTACCGGGCCATTCTCGACTCGTCTGGCAATGCGTGCGCGGCATTCAACACGCGCTCGCCAGTTCCCGTCGGCAACCGCCATCGCGGCCGCATCAGCTGTACCAAACCGGCTGGCCGGTGTGATTTCGGCCCCCAGTTGTGCCAGCTTTGCTTCTTATGTTGTGGGAGGGCGGGTGGGACTGGGCATGCCATGCTTGACTCGCTCGAGCTGGCTTGCTTGACTCCTACTCCTACTCCTACTCCTATCCTTATTCCTTATTAGAATATACTCCTACTCCCCCCTCAGGCCGGCAGATAGGGGCCGCATCCGGGTGGTCCCATCCTAACCTGTAAAAAACAATACAAAATCAACATGTTTCTTATTTTTCCTCTCGACATGGACGTCCTGTCGTCCACGGCGATAATCCATTGCAAAAAATACCACAAAGAGCACACGCGCGCGTTCATGTCAGAATCCTACCGAACACCGTGTGTTTGCAAGCATTTCAACATAAAAACATCAACAACCCAGTGCTTTTTTCACAAAAATTGTACAAATTTCCCGCCCGGGCTCTCTTGCTGAAATCATAAGAAAACCATAGGAATCTTAAGAATTCTGTCAAATCCAGCGATTTCACGTCATCGCGCGGTGCACTCGCGATGCTCTGTCATGCACCCAGGCCGCGAATCCTGTGCAAAAAATACCACGCAGGCGACATGCGCGCGCGTCGCCGCGAGCGCATGCTCAAATCCTTCTAGAATCGTCGCCGTCATTGGCACCGTCGCATGGACGTCCTGTCGTCCACGTCGCAAAATGCATGGCAGGAATGGGACGCGGCGCGCACCCCGCGCCCGCCCATCCAATCCGTCCCATTCTAATCTGCAAAAGACAATACACAGTTTTTGTTTTTCTTGTCAACATGGTCGTGCTGTCGTCACGTCGCAAAATGCGTGGCAGGAATGGGACGCGGTGCTCACCCCGCGCGAAGGGGTGACATGTCGCTCTCGCCTCGGCGCCGCGCACCAACGTTTTTCCTCTCAGCATGGACGTCCTGTCGTCCACGTCGCAAAATGCTTGGCAGGAATGGGATGCGGCGCACACCCCGCGCCCGCCCATCCAAACCCCCCCTGTTATAAAAAAAAACAATACAAGTTGGGGCCTTTTGGACGCCTCCTAATGCAATCCCATGAATCGTATGGGCGCATGGGGTCCCTTGGGGCGTCCTGGGGCCTTCTCGTGAGGCCTCGCTGTGTTTGCAAGCATTTCGACATACAAACTACTACTACTACTACTACTACTACTACTACTACTACTACTACTACTACGACTACTACTACTACTACTACTACTACTACTACTACTACTACTACTTCTACTACTACTCCTACTACCACTACTACTACAACTACTCCTGCTACTACGACGACTACTACTACTACTACTACTACTACTACTACTAGTAGTACAACTACTACTACTACTACTACTACTACTACTACTACTACTACTACTACTACTACTACTACTACTACTACTAAACTACTACTACTACTACTACTACTACTACTACTACTACTACTACTACTACTACTACTACTACTACTACTACTACTACTACGACTACGACTACTACTAAGACTACTACTACTACTACTACTACTACTACTACTACTACTACTACTACTACTACTACTACTACTACTACTACTACGACAACTACTACTACTACTACTACTACTACTACTACTACCACCACTATCTCTCCGACTCTTGAGGAGGAGGAACGGTAATCCTTATGGTCGTCGAGCACGAGGTCGGGCCGGAAGCGCTCGCGCATCGCCTCCCAGAACGCCTGAAGCACGGGTGGGCAGGCGCAGGCCCAGCTCTCCTCAGGAGATGGAGGTCTTCGCCCGCAGTACAGCTGTGATGGGCCCGGGAGGCCTTCCGTCGCCACGGCCGGATGCGGATCGAAATGCTGGCCAGAGCGCGCCCCTGGAGAGGCCCAGAGAGCACAGTCAGCCCGCATAGGAAGGATGGGCAACCTTCCCAAGAGTACCCTTGGCATCATTGCCTCCTCTGCCCGCCTGCATGGGCCTGCCACAAGCCACCTGGGAGCTCCGGAGGCCTCTTGGAGGGACATCCCCGAAAAAATCTCTGGATTCGCGTCATCATCTTCGATGTCTGCTGCCGCTCCACCACCACCCCGCGAAGAAGACGTGACAAGTCCGTCATACTCGACGTCCGGAAGCCGCTTCCAATCCCCAGGGCTGTCAAAAAACCTACCAGCGAGGAGACGCTGGTCTCGGGCAGGGCGAGAGCTCCAGCGGCTGGCGCTGCGTGCACCGCGAAGGTCTCAGCCAGGCGGGCCCCGTCTGCGAGGCGGGGATTTGTCCATATCCACCGCCTGGGAACCGACGTCCTGGTGTCCCGGCGGGCGGTGGATATGGATATGTTTGGGCCCCCGGGGGCTCGACTGTATCCATATCCACCGCCTGTGTAGGTCCTCGAGGATCGACCCCCCAGGCGGCTTATGGATGAATTCCCACCTCGGACGGTCCGGCCGGGAGCTGGAGCAGACAGCGGAAGCGAAGTGCCAAGACGAGGACGGGGCCGTCGACTGCCGCCGTGCCAGGGGAGGCATGGCGGGGAAGACCAGGCAAGCGGCGACAGACGCACAGGCGGGAGGCAAGAGCCGCCGAATCCGATGCAGCAGGGCACCCGGCCAGCCCGTCCCACGAACCCAGCACAGCACGGCACCGTGTCTGGCAGGGCGCCGCCGCTGGGGACGCACGCAGGGCAAGCAGGAGGAGGAGGAGGAAGAGGAATAAGAAGGACTCGTTAGGTTTGGCAAGTGCTATCACTAATGTGTGCCAGCCAACAGACCAGCAACTAGCCAATGCCGAAAACTGGAGGCGAGCTGCTGAGGGAGCAGGCTTGCGCGTGCCCGTTAATCGTGCCCTCGCCGATGCGCTCGCGAAGGAGTGCGGGGGGCAGGAAGATGCTTTCGTAGACTTTCACTTGTCTGATAGTTTCGTTCCCAACCATATTGTGCAAGTGGGTCTTCGTTTTGGATCAGCAGCACCACGTCCTTCCTTCCTCCTCCTCCTCCTTCCTCTCCCTCCTTGCTGCTTCCATCCCTGCCCTGTCCTCCGCATGTCCTCATCGTCATCGTCATCGTCGTCATCATTGTCATAAGCAGCAGCAGCAGCAGCAGCATCAGCATCAGCATCTCCATGATCATCAGCAGCATCACCATCACCATCACCATCATCACCACCATCAGCATCACCACCATTATCATCGGCAACATCATCATCACCATACACGCCGGTCGGAAGAAGTAGGTAAAAACATGAAGTGGGAAGACGGAGAAAGTCCAGTAGGAAGGAGCCTAAAGTAGATTGGGATCTGGGAGTCGACCGGCGTGTACTCATCTGCACCACCACCACCATCACCATCACCAGCACCATCATCATCATCATCATCATCATCATCATCATCATCATCATCATCATCATCATCATCATCATCATCATTATCGTCGTCATCATCATCATCAGCATCATCGTCATCATCATCATCATCATCGTCATCGTCATAGTCACCATCACCATCACCATCATTATCACCAACCAGCACCATCATAATAATCATCATTGTCATCCTCATCATCATCACCACCACCATCATCAGCAGCACTAGCATCCTGTACCCGCTCCCCTTCCTTCACCTCGTTCGTTCGTTCTTTTGCTACTCTGGACAGGCTCATCCGATGCCCTCCTCCTCACCCTCCTCTTATTTTATATATATAAATATATAGATATATATATATATATATCTATATATTTATATATATATATAACAAAAAAAAATTAAAACAAAAAAAAAAAAAAAAAAAAAAAAAAAAAAAAAAAAAACTTCTCCCTGTCGCACCCCGAGACCGGTTTTTTGGGCGGTCCGGGCGTTTCGCCTGAGACGTCCTCACCACTTTGGACCCTGAAGCTTAAAACATGATAACAGTTACACAGATGGAGAACGGGTGGGTTTCAAAATGTGGCTCTCGCCTTTGCGCCGCGCACATTCTAAATTTGCAGAAGTTTCACGGATTGAGGGTGGGTCGCTTTCAATGTGGCTCTCGCCTTAGCGCCGCGCACATTCTTCTAGAAATTTGGAAGAGTTTCACGGATTTGGGGGCATCGTTTTTTTTTAGTGGCTCTCGCCTTAGCGCCGAGCATCTGGGTTTTAAATTGGCAAGAGCTTCATGGATTGAGGGCGGGTTGTTTTCAAAATGTGGTTCTCGCCATAGCGCCGCGCACTTTCGTCATAACAATTGCAAGAGCTTCACGGATTAAGGGCGGCTCCTTTTCAAAATGTGGCTCTCGCATTAGCGCCGCGCACATTGGTTTTGTCTCTTCGCAAAAGTTTCACGCGTTTCCATGATCAGCGTACCAGGAATGGTGTTCTAGAAAGATTCAGAACTATGAGGGCGCAACAGTTGCATTGATTCGCGGTGCTGAAATTCCAAGAACGGCGTTCCGGCACGAGTCTGGATCGTCAAGACGCAACAGTCAGGTTGATCCGTGGCGTTGGAATCCCGAGAACGATGTTTTGGCATGCATCAGGGTCTTCAAACGGTTGTCTTCCAACGAGGCAGTTCCCTCAGTGGAAATGAACCCTTGTAGTTGGGGCCTATGAGGAGGGAGCTTGGAGGAAGGGTTTGCTCCAACATCGTTGATGACTCTAGGGTTTGCACTCGTCCTCGTCCTCCTCCTTCTCCTCGTGCTCCTCCTCCTCCTCCTGCTCCTCCTCCTCCTCCTGCTGCACCCGACCCCCCCTCCCCATCCACTCCCGGACGGCCTGCACGCCGGACATGCCGTCGGCGATCGACGGCTGCGCCGCGCCGTGCCGTGCCGGGCACAGGCCGTCCCCGATCCAGCGCTCCAGCATGCCGTACAGCGTGAGGTCGGCTGCCTGGGACCCCGCGGGCGCACACAAAGACGTGCTGGTACGAGGTGCCTCCGTCGGAGACTCCCGCCAGACCCGAGCATGCGGCATCGAATCTTGTGGCGCGTCGTCTCCCGAGCGGCATGGCCAGAAAGCGCCCACCGGGGAGCTTGGGAGTCGTTTCGTGGGGGGGGGGAAGGGGGTGAAAGCCAGGTGCACGACTCGGGCCCTGAAGGGCCCCTCTTGGGCCCTAAAAGACCCCTCTTGGGCCCTAAAGGACCCCTCTTGGGCCTCGTATACATAGCCATCTACATATACACATACACATACACATACACATACACCTTTCCAAATACATGTACATACACATACATACATATTCCTATTTATATATTTTTACAGGGCCGGGGACCCCGGAAAAGCAGCACCCGGTCCCCCCCCCCCAAAAAAAAAAAAAACGAATTTCGGCCTCCCGGAGCCTTTGGGGCGTTCCTGCAGAGTGCTCCGCGTCTGTCCTGCGAGTGCGTCGGGTGGGGTGGGGTGGGGGGGGGGAACATATATATATATATATATATATATATATATATATATATATATATATATATTATATATATATATATATATATATTATATATATCTGCTTTATATATATAATAATCATATATAATAAATAAATAAATAATAATAATATATATATAATAATAATAATATATATATATATATAATATATAAAAAAAAAAAAAAAAAAAAAAAAAAAAAAAAAAAAAAAAAAAAAAAAAAAAAAAAAAAAAAAAAAAAAAAAAAAAAAAAAAAAAAAAAAAAAGGGCCCCAAAACACTCAAAGATCGGCCCAAGACGCCCAATCTGGGCCCAAGACTGCCCAAGACGCGTCCAAGACGCCCCCGGAGACCCCCAAGAGGCCTTCCAAGAGAGCCCCGAGAGGCTGCAATTGTTTATTTTCCTGTGTGTTTTTCGATGTTGTTGGCCTTCTCGCTTCTCCCGCTTCCCGACGCTCCACAACGGCCCAAGAGGCTCCTTGGATCGCCCCAACACTGCCCACGAGGCCCCCAAGAAGGCCCCGACAAGGTCCAGGAGGGCTCCGAGACCGCCCAAGAAGCGCCCAAGACGGCCCAAGAGAGCACCAAGACGGCCCCAAGAGAGACCCAGGAGGGCGCCCAAAAATTCAAAACTAAAAAACGTTTTGGGGGCGCCAGAAACGTCGCGAACGGCCCCCAGAGGCCCGAGTCATGGCCCGAAAACCACGCGGGGGCATCAAGGGAGGAGAAGGAGGGGGGAAGGAGGAGGAGGATGAGGGGGAAAAGGGGGGCGAGGACGAGGAGGAGGGGGACATGGAGGAGGGAACGAAGACGAGGGGAGGGGGATACGGGGGATTGAGCACCTGGACGCGGCGCCCTTGCCTACCTTACCGGAGAGGGCCGGCCGAATCCGAAGAGCCCCTGGGGGATTGCAAAACCTGCACCGCCTCTTGCACTACCTTCGGGCCCCATTGGCGGCTTCGGAAAAACCGTTCCTAATTCGGGGGGTTCTCTCACACTTTGCCGCTTGACTCGCTGAGAGGCCGAGCGGCACCGCGCCGCGCCGCCAGGGATGGGGAGAATGGACGAAAAAAAAGCGGAGAGGGGGGAGAGGAAGAGGAGGAGGAACATGAGGAGGAGGAGGAGGAGGGGGAGGACGAGGAGGAGGAAAGGGAAAGGGGAAGGAGGAAGAGGAGATAACGGAAAGTAGTCTAATCCGCTTCGCCAGAGATATGCTCGCAACTCCGACCTCAGAAGCGCCTTGCTTCGCATCGGTCCCGCCGTTTTCGCTTGAAACATCATCACAGCTCTGGGGCCCGAGACACTCTCAGTTGAGGTGTTCCAGCCACTGTCGCCTGAGACACTCTCGCAAGTCTCACTTCGGAGGTGCCTTGCACCATGGTGGTTCGACCATTTTCGCGTGCGACTTCTCGCAACTCTAAGTTCAAGGATGCCCTGAGCAGAAGTGTTCAGACCACTCCTCGCTTGAAACTTCCTCGCACGGCCGACTTCGGAGATGCCCTCCCCTGAGCGGAGGTGTTCAGGCCAATTTCACCCGGGACGTCCTGGCAACACTGACCTCGGCGACGCATTGTCCCATGGTAGTCTGGCCACGTTTGCCTGAGACCCTCGCGCCTTTTAGTGGCGCGATGATATGAGCAACTGGTCAGGCCACTACCGCCTGATATACGCATGTGTATGCGCACACATAGTTACACTGACCAATTGCATGTACATGTACATATCCATACAAACGTACACATACATGTACATATGTACTATGCATTCATAGACGCATGTGTGTGTGCGCATGTACGCACGCTCGCACTCCGCTAGCGTGCGAATTCCAAAGGACCCAGGTGCATGGCGCGCAGCGCGCGCCAATGCGGTCTTGTATATATATATATATATATATGTATATATATATATACACGTTTATACCTATATGTTTATATATACATGTATACATATACATATACATCTACAAACATCGGAAATTGGGGGGTGAGATCGCAGTGAAACGGAGACCCCCAACAGGGAAAACGGTTTCGGTTTCGTATTCGTGTCGTGCGTGCGGGCGAGGCGAAGCTGCGCGTGATCCTGCTGTAGCTAGGCCGAAGTGGGAGCGAGAATCCGTTCCCGTTCGCCGGTGGCTGGGAAGTGTCCCAGTTGGGACAGGCGGTGTACCGGGTGTCCCGTGGTGTCCCGTGGTGGCCCGTGGTGCCCCGTGGTGTCCCGTTGAGTAAGATCGATAGTGAGATCGATAGTGAGATCGACAAAAGTCCCGTGGTGTCCCGTGGTGTCCCGTTGGCCGGGAGGTGTCCCAAATGGGCCGGGCGTTGTCCCGGGTGTCCCGTGGTGACCCGTGGTGGCCCGTGGTGTCCCGTGGTGTCCCGTTAAGTGAGATCGATAGTGAGATCGACAGTGAGATCGACAAGTGTTCCGTGGTGTTCCGTGGTGTCACGTTAAGTGAGATCGATAGTGATATCGATGGTAAGATCGATGTGGTGTCCCGAGGTGTCCTGTGGTGTCTATGCTGTCCCGTTGAGTGAGATCGATAGTGAGATCGATAGTGAGACCAATAGTGAGATCGAGAGATGTCCCGCGGCGTCCCGTGGTGTCCCGTGAAGGCCCGTGGTGCCCCGTGGTGTCCCATTGAGTGAGATCGATAGTGAGATCGATAGTGAGATCGACAAGTGTCCCGTGGTGTCCCGTGGTGTCCCGTTGAGTGAGATCGATCGTGATATCGATTGAGTCAGATGTTGGTTCCCCGTTGAATGAGATCGATAGTGAAATCGATAGTGAGATCGACAAGTGTCCCGTGGTGTCCCGTGGTGTCCCGTTGAGTGAGATCGATCGTGATATCGATTGAGTCAGATGTTGGTTCCCCCCCTTTCTTCCCCCCTCACAACCTCCTTATCACCCGAAGGGTGGTCGTATAGGTACATCTATATTGTTTGCAGATAGATGGACAGATGAACAGATCGACGAGTAGGTAGGTGGACATCAATACTGATGTCCTGATGTGTGCCCACTCGTGGGTGGATTTGTACGTGCAATGCAAATGAAAGATGACGCCGCCCCCCCCGAACCTCCTAACTACCACCTGAAGGGTGCTCTATGAGGTATCGACACAGAGGTAACTCCAGTTAGGGGGCCACGTGCGAACCCTACCCCTACCCCCCACGACTTCTGAGGGAGAGGGTGGGGTTCACTTCGCTCGGAAGCTCCCGAAGGAAGTGAACCCCACCCTCCCCCTCAGAAGTCGTGGGGGGTGGGGGTAGGGTTCACATGTGGCCCCCTACCAGGCGTCCGTCTGGCCACAAAGTGGAGACCCCCGGGAGACCTCCGGAGACCTGCAGGGACCTCCTGAGAATGCTCCCGGACGGAGGCGAGCGACGCGTGCAGGCACGGCGACCTTGCGCGGTGGCCAACTCGGGCCTCCAGATTAGCGCGGCTCGCTGCGGTGAGAAGATGGCGGTTCCGCGACAGCTTGTGCAGGCAGCGGGAAGCTTTCGCGCGAATGCCCACGCAGCCGCCCACGTTTGTGTGTGTCGCGTCGCTCAGGTGCGCCAGGGAGACACACACGGCCTCCAGAGCACCCCTCGCGAGAGCCCGACTGCCCCAGGGAGTCCAAAACGTCGCGCGAAAATACGGGGGCACCCTGGGCAAGGACCACTTCTGGCAACCTCCAGCTGGAGGCCCTCGGCGACCAGCCAAATCCAGACCTCCGGCATCAAGAGAGAGTACGTCGGCCGTCGTTTCGTGTGGTTTGGGACGTGCACACGTCTTTTCCACACGGTCTTGGAAGCTTCCCCATGTTGTTGGGAGGCTTCTGGAAGGTTCTGAATACTTTCAGCATGCCACAGGGTTCCCCTTGAAGCTCACTCAGCATCTGATCCAATCGCCCGCCGAG